CCAGGAGTTGGAGGTTGCTGTGAGCTGTAATGCCACGGCACTCTACCCAGGGGGACAGCTTGAGGCTCTGTCTCAAAAAAAAAAAAAAAGAAAAAACATAGATCTGCTTATTGTGATTTGATGTTAATCTTGATTTATAATTTTTTGTTTGTTTTTGATACAGGGTCTTGCTTTATTCCCTAGGCTAGAGTGCAGTGGTGTCATCATAGCTCACTGCAACCTCAAACTCCTGGGCTTAAGTGATCCTCCTGCCTCACCCACCCTAGTAGCTGGGACTACAGGGATACACCACCATACCCAGCTAACTTTTCTATTTTTTGTAGTGATGGGTGTCTCACTGTGTTGCCCAGGCTAGTCTAGAACTCCTAGCCTCAAGAAATCTTCCCGCCTCGGCCTCCCAAAATGCTATGATTACAGGTGTGAACTGCTGTACCCAGCTTTTAAGAATGTTGACTCAACTAATTAGGTTGTAGTATATATTTGTATTTTTGGCAAAAGTAAAAGAAATTTTAAATTATGCAGTATTTTAAGTATTTGTATCATTTCCAGGAAAATATGGTGACTACACATATGTAGGTATAGGAGATATTCTTTAGGTAAAGAAAGTCCCATGACTTTTTACACCATTGATGTGATTTTAGTAGAAATATAAAGTAAATTGCTAAATACATATGAAGGTCAGGTTATGAACTACTTGAGATCCAAGTTTTCGTCTTAATCAAAATTATATTTCTAGCATCTAGCATAGTACTTGGCTCAAAGTAAACACTAATAGGTTAAGGAATGGTTTTTACTACCTTGATCTCTGTTAATAATTATTAAAAAGCGTCTGCTAGTCTTGTTTCAACAATTTATATGTTTGCCTCCTGAGGTATGTTTTGTCAATTGAAAGTGCTGAAGAGATACGAGAATATGTTACTGATCTCCTCCAGGGAAATGAAGGCCAAAAAGGCCAATTCATCGAAGAACTTGTAACCAAATGGCAAAAGAATGATCAGGAGTTGATTTCTGATCCTTTGCAACAGTGCTTAAAAAAAGATGGTAAGTAATGTAATTAAATGCAAGTTGAAATAATGATAGATGGGCAGGTTTAAAGGACATTTTACCATCCTTTTTTTTTTTTTTTTTTTCAGACAGTCTTACCATGTTGCCCTCGGTAGAGTGCTTTTGCGCCATAGCTCACAGCTTGGGCTTAAACAATTCTCTTGCCTCCCAAGTAGCTGGGACTACAGGTGCCCACCACAACAGCTGGCTATTTTGTTGTTGTTGTCATTGTTGTTTAGCAGGCCCTGGCCGGGTTCAAACCAATCAGCCCCAGTATATGTGGCCAGCGCCTTAACCACTGAGCTATGGGTGCCAAGCCCATCCTTTTTTTATTTATTTACTTATTTATTTTTTGACACAGAGCCTCAAGCTGTTTCCCTGGATAGAGTGCCATAGCATCACAGCTCACAGCAACCTCTAACTCCTGGGCTTAAGCGATTCTTCTGCCTCTGCCTCCCAAGCTGCTGGGACTATAGGTGCCTGGCTATTTTTTGGTTGCAGCCATCATTGTTGTTTGGTGGGCCTGGATTCGAACCCGCCAGCTCAGGTGTACGTGGCTCCTTAGCCACTTGAGCCACAGGTGCCGAGCCTCCATCCTTTCTTTCTTCCTTTCTTTTTTTTTTTTCTTTAAGACAGAGCCTCAAGTGTTGCCCTGGGTAGAGGCTATGGCATCACAGCTCACAGCAACTTCCAACTCCTGGGCTCAAGCGATTCTCCTGCTTCCGCCTCCCAAGTAGCTGGGACTATAGGCACCTGCCACAACACCCGGCTATTTTTTGGTTGCAGCCATCATTGTTTGGCAGGCCTGGACTGGATTCAAACCTGCCAGCTCAGGTGTATGTGGCTGGCGTCTTAGCCGCTTGAGCCACTGGCTCTGAGCCCATCCTTTATTTCTTAATACTAACATAAGCAGTATCATATATATACATATGTTTAGTTCAGGTCTATTCATTTTGTAAAGAATTTTGTCCTAATTCAGACCTTTTCAATTTAGAAAATTTTATAAAACTGCTGGTGTATAAATATGGCTTTAGAATAATTTGAAAAATTTACATGTAGATTAATGAAACATTTTTCAGTTATGTGCATACGTGGATGAAAATAAAATATTTTTACCAGGCCAGGTGTTGGTGGCTCATGCCTGTAATCCCAGCACTCTGGGAGACTGAGGCAGGTGGATTGCCCTGAGCTCAGGAGTTTGAGACCAGCCTGAGCCAGATCAAGAGCTCCTCTCTAAAATTTAAAAAGCCTGAGTGTTGTGGTAGGTGCCTGTAGTTTCGGCTACTTGCGAGGCTGAGACAAGAGGATTGCTTAAGCTCCAGAGTTTGAGGTTGCTGTGAGCTGTGATGCCACAGCGCTCTACCTAGAGCAACACAGTAAGACTCTGTCTCAAAATAAATAAATAAATAAATATAGAGATAGACTCTGTCCCCCCCAAAATATCAGATTTTATTTATTTATTTCTATAGACATAGTGAGACTCTGTTTCAAAATAAAATAAAATCACATTTTATTCTATTTGTTTATTTTTTTTTTTGAGACAGAGCCTCAAGCTGTCCCCCTGGGTAGAGTGCTATGGCATCACAGCTCACAGCAACCTCCAACTCCTGGGCTCGAGCAAGTCTCCTGCCTCAGCCTCTCAAGTAGCTGCGACTGCAGGCGCCCACCACAACACCTGGCTATTTTTTGGTTGCAGCCGTCATTGTTGTTTGACGGGTCAGGGCTGAGTTTGAACCCACCAGCCCTGGTGTGTATGTGGCCGGCACCTTAGCCCATGAGTTACAGGCACCAAGTCAAAGCTAAAATATCAGATTTTAATATAACTTCTTAATCCCAGCCAGATGTTGAGTTCTTTATCATTGACTACAATCTTGAAAATTGTGGTTTAAATTTAATTATGGCTGGGCACAGTGGCTCACACCTGTAATCCTAGCACTCTGGGAGGCCAAGGCGGGTGGATTGCTTGAGCTGACGAGTTAAGAGACCAGACTGAGCAAGAGGGAGTTCCTGTCTGTGCTAACAATAGAAAAACTAGCCGGGCATTGTGGCAGGTGCCTGCTACCTGAGAGGCCTAGGCAGGAGGATCACTTGAGCCCAGGAGTTAGAGGTTGGTATGAGCTACTATGCCTCGGCACTCTTGTGTAGGGCAACAGATTGAGACTCTGTCTCCATGAAAAAACAATTAATTAATTAAATTGTGGTTTGAGAGGAAGCAATAATTAAAAGTCTGCCTTACTTCCTATCTTGACTATAAATATTAAGCATCACCCTCTATTTGTTATAGGAATTCATCATCCTGCTGTTATCTGTTAAATTTTTTTTTTCTTTAAAGAAATTTTAGATGGACAGAGATCTGGAGACCAGCTAAAGCGTGGTAGGCGGAAAGGGAGAAACAGACAAGATGTTTCTGCATTTGCTGAACCTGATACAACTATAGAGGTCAAAACACCTTTTGATTTGGCCAAGGTGAGTACTTAAAGAATGAACTTTTTTCTGGCTCAGTGGCTCACACCTGTAATCCTAGCACTCTGGGAGGCTGAGGTGGGTGGATTGCTTGAGCTCATGAGTTTGCGACCAGCCTGAGCAAAAGTGAGACCCTGTCTCTATAAAAATAGAAAAACTGGGTGGCGCCTGTAATTCAGGCAGCTAGGGCAGGCATCCTCAAACTTTGACCCGGGGCCACATGCGGCCTCAGGACATTTATCCGGCCTGCTGGGTGTTTTTGCGCGTTGCCTGTCCTGCTTAGCGGCCAACTCATCCCGGAGCCTGTAGTACAGCCCTTCAGCAGTCTGAGGGATAGTGAACTGTTTAAAAAGTTGAAGACCGGCTCGGCGCCTGTGGCTTAAGCGGCTAAGGTGCCAGCCACATACACCTAAGGTAGCGGGTTTGAATCCCCAGCCCGGGCCCGCCAAACAACAATGATGGCTGCAACCAAAAAATGGCCAGGCATTGTGGCGGGTGCCTGTAGTCCCAGCTACTCGGAAGGCTGAGGCAGGAGAATCGCTTGAGCCCAGGAGTTGGAGGTTGCTGTGAGCGTGATGCCATGGCACTCTACCCAGGGGGATAGCTTGAGGCTCCATCTCAAAAAAAAAAAAAAAAGTTGAAGACCCAGGGCTAGGGCATCAGCCACATACACTAGAGTTGGCGGGTTAGAATCCAGCTGGGGCCTGCCAAACAATGACAACTACAACCAAAAAATGGCCATGCGTTGTGGTGGGCACCTGTAGTCCCAGCTACTCGGAAGGCTGAGGCAGGAGAATCGCTTGAGCCCAGGAGTTGGAGGTTGCTGTGAGCTGTAATGTCACAGCACTCTACCCAGGGCAATAGCTTGAGGCTCTGTCTCAAAGAAAAAAAAAATAGAAAAACTGAGGCAAGAGTATGGCTTGAGCCCAAGAGATGGAGGTTGCTGTGACCTATGACGCCATGGCACTCTACCCAGGGTGACAGCTTGAGACTCTGTCTCAAAAAACAAAGAATGAACTTTTTTCTGACTATACAGAGGAAGAGGCAGTGACTAATACATTTCACAGAACAAAGTGTACAAAGTGGCTTCAAATGGCAATTTTTCAACAAATGCATGAATTTTAGGGAGAGAATGTGATAATGATGACAAAGTTCTTTCTTATGGGGGCAGCCTGATGGCCTTATAAGGACATCTTTGCTTAGAGGTAAGATTAACACGATAATTATAAGTTGAAAAATATTTAATGGAGTGCCCTGAGCTTCAACAGTTTTTGTGGGTGTATGCTAAAAGAATGTACAGTTCTAGCTGCTATTAAGGGTGTTCCTATTTTTAGCCAGCCACCTTCATCACCATCATTCAAATTTTAGAGATTTTTCATATTTTCTTTTTTGGCCCTTATGATAGCCCTTTGTAGTAAACAGAAATATAGTTGACAATCTCCATAGTTGACAACCTCCCTACACTGACCACCTCCTTAATTTGACCTAATTTTCATAGACTAGACATGTACCTTCAGTGGAAAACTGACCTCTATATATTGGCCACCTCTGTAAGTTGTATCCTTTTTGTTTTTTGAGACAGAGTCTTAAGCTGTTGCCCTGGGTAGAGTGCCAAGGCATCACTGCTCACAGCAATCTCAAATTCTTGAGTTTAGGCAATCCTCTTGCCTCAGCCTCCCAAGTAGCTGGGACTACAGGTGCCCACCCTAACACTTGGCTATTTTTGTTTATAGTTGTCATTGTTGTTCGGTGGGCCTGGGCTGGATTCGAACCCACCAGCTCCCGTGTATGTGACTGGCACCTTAGCCGCTTGAGCTATAGGCACCGAGCCTTTAAGTTGTATCTTGACCATTTGGATTGTGACATACAATATTAATTTACCCTTTATAACTTGAGCAGTTGAGTCCTCTCTACACCAAAGGGTAGGACATACAGGCTTTGCCCCTTACTTGTATTATTTTTTTCTTTAGTGTAAGTTCTTTTTTCATGTCTTGTCATTACTATGTGTGGGATTAGGCCTAATGTCCTATTGTTTATCACATGTTGTGAAAGATTTTTTTCATTATGAAGGGCTGATCTGAATTATAGATACAACCTACAATTATTGAAAAGTTTTACAGTTAATTGAAAGATGATGGTCCAAAGGAAAGAACTCAAAAAGCTGACATTGAAGGAAAAGGTTGATGTTCTGTATTTTTTGGAAAGCAGCAGCCAAAGAAAGGCAGTGGAATATTTTGGTGTTAGCAAGACCAAAATATTAGCAACATCCAAAAATGTAAAAGTGAATAATTAGATATGGTAAAGAAAGTGGCAGACTATAGATTGGAATAGGAGGAAAACATTCCTTGATGAAGTCAATGAAGCCACATTAAGTTGGTTCCAACTAATGAGGGCAGGCCCCTTTGCCTAATTGCCCTGGCAATGGAGGCCTGTTTCCTGTTTATGGGAAACATAAGCTTATGTATCTTGTAGGCCAGGCGTGGTGGCTCGCGCCTGTAATCCCAGCACATGGGAGGCTGAAGCAGATGGATTGCCTGAGCTCACATGTTCAAGACCAGGCTGAGCCAGAGCAAGACCCAGTCTCTGAAAAATACCCAGGTGTTGTAGCAGGTGCCTAGTACCAGCTACCTCCCAGTAGGAGGCAAGAGAATTCCTTAAGCCCAAGAGTTTGAGGTTGCTATGAGCTAAGATGCCATGGCACTCTACCCAGGGTGACCAAGTGAGACTCTCTCTCTCAAAAAAAAGAAAAACCTACATATCTCATGTTCTTACTCTGTAAACCTACCTTTTTCTTTCTCAATAAACTGTTTCATGTTTGCCTTACCAAAAAGTAAAAAATCACAAATGAGGGCAGTTAACGCCAGAATTTCTGGGCCAGTGATCCAAGAAGTTCCTAAAAAATTTATACAGAGTGGTGCCTGTGGCTTAGTAAGTAGAGTGCCGGCCCCATATACTGAGGGTGGTGAATTCAAACCCAGCCTTGGCCAGCTAAAACAGCAATGAGAATTGCAACAAAAAACAGCTGATTGTTGTGGTGGGTGCCTATAGTCCCAGATACTTGGGAGGCTGAGGCAAGAGAATAGCTTAAGCCCAGGAGTTGGAGGTTGCTGTGAGCGGTGATGCCACAGCACTCTACCAATGGCAACAAAGTGAGACTATGTCTCCAAAAAAAAAAAAAAATTTACGCAGAAATTCAGGGTGGTAGATTTTCAAGCATCAACTGATTTAAACTGTGACACACAATTTCCCAGAAAAGTCTTGTGTGGTGAATCCAATGAATTTGCAGTGTAGAAGTTGTGGAAGAGTTCATCACAAAGTTCCCAACTTCACCCGAGGCTTCAGGATGATGAAATCTTTAATGTTGACAAGTGCAGACTCTTTTTCAAGGCAGTACCTGACAGGAGTCTCATTATGAAGGGTGACAAATATAAGAGCAGAGAACTTTCCAAAGGGTGTTTCATAGTTATATTTTACACTAGCTCAACCAGAGAGAAACTAAAGTTCTTGGTGATTGGTCAAAGCCACATGCATTCAAGAACCTGAAGCCCAAAGTTTTCCTTGTCAGTTGGAGATGAAACAGATGCATATGAAAGACTGGTACCCTATTTGAGATGTAGGTTAGGAGTGTCAACCATAGTGTCTCACACCTATAATCCTAGCACTTTGGAAGCGCGGGGTGGGATGATCGCTTGTTCTCAGGAGTTAGAAAGGAGCCTGAGCAAGAGTAAGGCTGTCTCTACCAGAAACAGAAAAAATTAGCTGGGCATGGTGGTGCATACCTGTAGTCTTGGCTACTTAGCAGGGTGAAACAGGAGTATCACTTGTGGCCATAAGTCTGAAGTTGCAATGAGCTGTGATGATGCCACTGCATTCTAGCCAGGCAATAGAGCAAGACATTGTCTCAAAAAAAAAAAAAATCCTTCAATAGTTTCTTAACCCTTTGTAATCATTTCTAAGTGCAGTAAGCATTAAGTTTATTTACATTGTTGTGCAGTACACCTCAAGAACTTTTTTAGGTTGCAAAACTGAAACCCTTACTTTTTTAAAAAAAGTGTCTCACTCTTTTTGCCCCAGGCTAGAGTGCCGTGGTGCCATAGCTAACAGCAACCTCAAACTTCTGGGCTTAAATGATCTTCCTGCTTGAGCCTCAGAAGGTGGAGGCTAGCCTCAGCCTCCTAAGTAGCTGGGACTATAGGCATCAGCCGCAACAGCCGGCTAGTTTTTCTTTCTTGTTTTTCTAGAGATTAGGAGGGTAGGTCCTGCTTTTTGCTCAGGCTGGTGTAGATCTTCTGAGCTTGGGCAATTTACCCACTTCTGCCTCCCAGAGTGCTATGATTACAGCATGAGCCACTGCACCCAGCCCCAGCTAGTTTTTGTTTTTATTTATTTATTTATTTATTGAGACAGAGTCTCACTATGTCTCCCTCGGTAGAGTGCTGTAGTGTCACAGCTCACAGCACCCTCAAACTCTTGGGCTTAAGTGATTCTCTTGCCTCAGTGTCTCAAGTAGCTGGGACTACAGATGCCCGTCACAACATCTGGCTATTTTTTTGTTGCAGTTGTCATTGTTGTTTATCAGGCCTGGGCCAGGTTCAAATCTGCCAGCCTTGGTGTATGTGGCTGGCACCCTACTCACTGAGCTACAGCAATCCACCTGTCACAGCCTCCCAGAGTGCTGGGATTACAGATGTGAGCCACTGCGCCCAGCCAAGTTTTTCTGTTTTTGGTAGAGATGGGGGTCTTGCTCTTGCTCAGGCTAGATTCCACCTTCTGAGCTCAAGCAGTCCACCTGCCTTGACCTCCCTGAATGGTAGTATTATAGGCATGAGCCACTGCCCAGCCACCTTTTAAGTATTAACAACTACACAGTTCCCCCTTCTCCTAGCTTCTAAAACATTTTACTTTTTGTTTTGTTGAATGTGACTGCTTTAGACATCTCATATAAGTGGAATCATACAGTATTTGTCTTTTTGTGATTGTCTTATATAACTTAGCATAGTAATTTCAAGAACCATCTATATTATAGCATATAACACAATTTTGTTTCTTTTAAGGCTATGTAATACTCCATTGTATGGATGTACCACATTTTGTTTATCCATTTATCCTTCAGTGGACATTTAGGTTGTTTCCTCCTCTTGGCTATAGTGAATAATGATGCTATAAACATGGGTATACAAATATTTTTTTGAGGTCCTACTTTCAATTCTTTTAGATATACCCAGAAGTGGGATTGCTGAGACGTGGTAATTCATGAGTAGCTTATATTAAGAAGAAAAAAACATGGGGCTGGGTGCAGAGGCTCACACCTATAATCCCAGCACCCTGGGAGGCCGAAGCTGATAGATTGCCTGAGCTCACAGGTTTGAAACAAGCCTGAGCAAGAGCGACACCCTGTCTCTACAGAAATATAGCTGGGCATCGTGGCAGTCCCTATAGCCCCACCTACTCAGGCGACTGAGGCAAGAGAATCGCTTGAGCCCAAGAGTCTGAGGTTGCTGTGCACTATGATGCCACAGCGCTCTAAAAAAAAAAAAAAAAAGGAAAAAGAAAAAAAAACAAAAGAAAAACAAATAGTATAACAAATAGTACTTTCTACCTATGATTGATAATTTTTTTAATTTGTTTTTTATCTTATTTTCAAACAAACGAATAGAAGTTTTCAGATAAAGTCAAAATCCTCTTCGTTCTCTGTAACAAGGGAACCAAGTTTTTTCTCCCTGGAGTATATCTAGAGATAGTTTTGGTTGTTACATGGGGGAGAGGGTGTTACTGGTATTTAGTGGGTAGAGTCAAGTGATGCTGGTAAACATCCTACTATGAACAGGATAGCCTCTATAACAATCAATAGTATCAGTAGCACTAGGGTTGAGAAACTGCAGTACACAATCTTGTTTTCTCCCATCTTGACTGATACTGTCATGAATCTGGTGTGAATCTAAATAGTCCATTTTTATATGTGGATACAGAAGCATCTATTAATATACAATATAGTGTTATGTATTTTTTAAATGTACATAAATGATTTACAGTATTTTTTGTGTTACAAAGACCCCCTCTTCTTTTTAGATAGGTTCTTGCTCCATTGGTTGATCTGGGGTACAGTGGTGTCATCCTATCCCAAAGCAACCTCAAACTGCGAGGCTCAAGCCATCCTCTTGCCTCAGCCTCTGGAGTAGCTAGGACAGACTATAGGCATGTGTCACAAGCCCTAGTTAATTTTTCTATTTTTTTGTAGAGACAGAGCCTTGCTCTTACTTAGGCTGGTCTCCTCCTGACCTCAAGTGATCCTCCTGCCTTGGCCTCCCAAAGTGCTAGGATTACAGGCTATGCCTGGCCTTTTCTTTCTTTCTTTCTTTTTTTTTTTTTTCTTGCTGGGGCTGGGTTTGAACCCACCACCTCCGGCATATGGGACCAGTGCCCTACTCCTTTGAGCCACAGGTGCTGCCCAACCTGGCCTTTTCTAAACCTCTCAAGAGCTGTCAGCACTGATAGATTTGTTTTTGTTTTTGTTTTGAGACAGTCTCAGTTATGTCCCCCTCAGTACAGTTCTGTGCCGTCACAGCTCACAGCAACCTCAATCTCTTAGGCTTAAGCAATTCTCTTGTCTCAGCCTCCCGTGTAGCTGGGACTACAGGTGCCTGCCACAACACCCAGCTATTTCTTTTGTTGTAATTGTTGTTCTTTGGTAGGTTCAGGCTGTGTTGGAACCCACCAGCCCCAGTGTATGTGGCCGACACCCTAGCCGCTGAGCTACAGGCACTAAAAAACGCAAGCAATCCTCTGGCCTTAGTCTTCCAAATAGCTAGGATACAAGTGCCCACCACAATGCCCAGGTAGTTTCATTATTATTTTTTTTTTTTTTTTTTGAGACAGGAGCTTCAAGCTGTCCCCCTGGGTAGAGTGCCATGGCATTTCAGCTCACAGCAACCTCCAACTCCTGGGCTCAAGC